GAATTTAACCATACAATCAACCAATTTTATCTTACAGATATTTTCAGACTAATACCATCCAAAAGAGATGAGTGTATGTTCTTCTCCAACTCAAACTGAACATTCTTCAGAGTAAATCATATTTTAGGTCAGAAAGCAAGCCTCAATAAATTAAATTAAAAAAAAAACAACACAACAAATCCCACAGAACACAACCCATTTCCTCAGACCACAGTGGTCCAAAACTAAAAATAAATAGCATGGGGACAAAGGAGAAAATAAAACCATGTACCTGGAAGCTAAACAATGCCCTGCTTGAACACAAGTAAGTAATAAAGAAATAAAAGAGAAGTTAAAAAGTTTCTTAAAACAGATGAGAATGATAGTACAACTTACCAAATCTCTGGGATACAGCAAAAGCAATGCTTTTTTTTTTTAGCAAAAGCAATGCTTAGAGATCAATTCATAGCAATAAGCAAACATATTCAAAGGGAAGAAAAAAATAATAATTGATTATTTAACTCAATATCTCCAACAAGTAGAAAAAGAATATAAAAACACCTGATAATCTCTAAGAGAAATGAAATTATAAAAATTAAGGCAAAAAGAAATGCAAAAGAAAACACAAAAACAATTGAAACTATAGCATCACAATCTACACAAACCTGGTGGTTCAGGGCTTTTCTTAGCTGGAAGCTGTTTTACGACCTGTTCAACTTCTTCTTTTATAATTAATCTGTTCAAGTGTTCTACTTTAGTCTGCATCAGTTTGGGTAAATTTTTGTGGTTTTCCAAGCATTTGTCCATTTACTCCGAGCTTTAACATTTGTTAGACTATAGTTTTTCATAATATTGTTAACCTTTTCCTTTGAGTTGGTTCTTTTGTGACATTGCCTCTTTCACCTCTTATTCAGATTATCTGTCTTTTCTTTCTTTTCCTTTGTTGGTTTTGCTAGTGGTTTGTCAATTGTATTCACCTTTTAGACACAGTTGAGCAGTTCAGCCAAGTACAAGGTCAACATACAAAAAATTCAGTTGGATTTCTCTACAGTGACAAAGAGAATATAGAAATGGAGCTAATGAAAACAATACCGATTAGAACTGTTATGCATCAGGGGTTTTGCATGAGCAGAATTACATGTTCTGGAATCACCATTCTCAAAGTTAGACCAAACTGTTGTGATCTATATGGTCAAATACTTTGCATAGTCAATGAAACACAGATAAACATTCCTCTGGTACTCTCTGATTTTAGCCAAGATCCATCTAATGTTTACATTATATCCCTAGTACCATGGCCTCTCCTAAACCCAACCTGCACATCTGACCGTCCTCTGCTGATGTATTGTTCTAGTCATTTTTGCATAATCTTCAGCAGGACCTTGCTTGCATATGATATAACAATATTGTTTGATAATTTCCACATCTGTTGAGTTACCTTTCTTTGACTGAGACTAAATAAAGATTTCTTCCAGTCATTTGGCCAGGGAGTTGTTCTCCAGGTTTCCTGACATAACCTGGTAAGCATGTCCAGGGCAGCATCTGTTTGCTAAAATATGTCAATTGGTATTCCATCAATTCCTGGACCCTTCTTGTTGGCAAATTCCTTCAGAGCAGCTAGTCCAGAAAGCAGTGGTCAAATCAGAGCAGGGAAACACAGTATGGTTCAGGATCAGGAAAGGTGTGTGTCAGGGATGTATCCTATCTTCATATGATTTCAATCTATATGTGGAACAGATCATCTGAGAGCCTGTACTTTATGAAGACAAATGTGACACCAGGATTGGAGAAATACTCGTAACTACCTGTGTTGTGCAGATGATGCAATTTTGCTTTCTGAAACTGAGGAGGACATGAGGCATCTGCTGCAGAAGGTCAAGGACTGTGGTATTCAATATGAATTGAAGCTCAATATCAAGAAAATGAAGATGCTCACAATTGGGCCAAGTGACAACTTCATGGTAGATGGAGAAAGACTGAGACTGTTAACAATTTCAGCTTGCTTACTTCCACAATCAGCACTACTGGCACAATCACACAGTAAATCAAAAGACAAATTGCACTGGGAAATTCTTCTGTCAGGGACCTCTCTAGAATATTGAAGAGCAATGATATCAGTCTGGAGACTAAGGTGCATCTGATCTAGGCAAGTCTTCACAAGTACTTTCTATGCATCTGAGAGCTCTACAATTAGCTAAGGATGACAGAAGGATGGATGCTTTTGATTTATAGTGTCAGAGAAGTGTACTGAACATACTATGGATTTCCAGGAAAAAACCAAACAAACCAGGTCTGTCCTAGAGAGGGTGAAACCAGGCTTCTACCTGAAGGCAAGAATTTTTAAGCTCCTTCTCACATACTTTGGGCATATAGCCAGGAGAGACCACTCCCTGGAGAAGGACATCATGCTTGGAGTGTTGGGGGCACAGGGCAGAAGAACAAGATGGATTGACTCAGCGACTGAAGAAATAGGATTAGTTCTGTTGGAGACGATGAGATTGGTTGGCTCAGGATAGCGCAGGGTTTAGAGCTAATGTACACAGGGTTGCTATGACTCATAGGTGCATTGAAGCCACAAAGCAACAACAATATGCATCAGAAAGCTGGACAATTACTAAGGATGACAAAAGAATTGATGCCTTTTTTGTGGTTTTGGCAAAGATTATGAAACCTACCATGAACTGCCAGGAGAACAAATAAGTGTTATAGAGACGGTGAAAATAAGTTCCTCCTTGGAGGTAAGGATTTTGAAGCTCTGTCTCACATACTTTGGGCACTTGGCTAGGAGGGACCAGTCGTTGGAGAAGGACATCATGCTCAGAAGGGTGGAGGGGGAGCACAGAAGAGGAAAACCTCAGATGAGATGAACTGACATGGCAACTGGGGCAATGGGATTAGGTGCACTGGAGTCAGTAAGACTGGCTCAGGATAGGATTAAGAGCTATTGTAAATAGAGTCTCTATGAGTCATGGGCAGCTTGACTGCACATAACATCACCACCACCATCACAAGATGAAATATTTGGGAGTAAATCCAACAAAAGGGCTACACACAGAAAATTACAAAACATTAAAAGCAAAAAGAGATCTTGATTAATGAAAGACTATCCAGTGCACATGGACAAGAAGATGCAACATTGTGAAAATGACAATTTTACCAAAGAGAATCTCCAAGTTCAATGTAATTTCAATTCAGACACCAATTCCATTTTGCAACGAGATGAAAAAGGCAATTTTCAATTCCCTCTAGAATGGTAAGAGATCCTGAATAAGTAAAACTACAGAAGGAGATAAAGTATGTATGTGGCATCACACTTCCTGATCAAGATAGCATGGTACTGGTACAACAACAGACAAACAGATCAGCAGAATCAAACTGAGAACCAGGAAATCAGCTCATCCACCTATGGTCACTTGACCTTTTGACAAAGAGACAGAATCTGTAAAGTGGGGAGAGGACAGTCCCTTCAACAAATGATGTTGACAAAACTGGAAAACCATCTGCAGAAAAGTTAAGCAAGACCCACACCTCACACCTCACAAAAAACAACTTACGGTGTATACAGAACCTAGAAGTAAAACCAAAGACTATAAAATTAATCAGAGAAAAATTAGGCAGAATTTTAGAAGCCCTAAACCATAGCATAGACAGTCTTCCAAGCATAATGAAAATCTTACTACCCTGAGAGAATAAAATAGAAGAATGGTATCTTCTAAAAGTAAAATTCGTACGCACATCAAAAAACTTCTCCAACAGGGTAACAAGGAAAGCCAAAGACTGAGAAAAAATATTTGGCAATAACATATGTGAAAGGGACTTATACCTAAAATTAATAAAATACTCTAGTAGGTCAACAAGAAAAAGATAACCAAATCATAAATGGCAAATACATATATAAATGTTTTAAATCCCTGGCTATTAGAGAGATGCAAATCAAAATAACTATGAGATATCATCTCACCTGAGCAAAAATAGGAAATTTCGACAAGGCAGCAAACTACAAATGCAGGTGAGGTTTTAGAGAGATTTGAACTCTTATTCACTGCTGGTGAGAAAGTAAAATGGTAAAACTACTATGAAGGTGGTCTGGTTCTTTCTCAAAAATTTGTAAATAGATATACCATTTGGCCCAGCAATTTCACTACTGAGAATATACCCTAAAGAAACCAAAGAAACAACTCAAACAGATATATGCACACTCATGTTTATTGCTATGTTATTCACAACAGTAAAGAGATGGAAGCAACCCAAGTGCTCATCAACAAATGAATGGATAGAAATACTACAGTACATCCACATCATGGAATACTATGCTGCACTGAAAAACAATAAAATAATATACACACCATGGGGAAGGTATGTGAAATATCTCAATCACCAAAGGACAAATATGAGTAACAGTGCTGTTATAGGACAGACTTGGGGCAGGGGTGGGGAGGAAATGGGAGGATAAGTGGATAGATAATGAACACTGCATTAGAACAGATGAGTGGAAGAACTGTCTGAAAGGACTATATGATTATGCATTACTTGTATGAGAACAATCTCATACAAGGGGTGCCCTGCAGGGTGGACTTGGGGAGCAGAAGGGAAGAGAGAAAAGGTACAACAATGAATAAAAAAAGAAGCTTAAAAATTAGAGGGAACTCTGGTGGCTGAGTGGCAAGAAGCCGCTCTGCAATCCCAGAGATATGTAGTTCAAATCCACCAGATGCTCTGCTGGAAAAGGAGGGACAATCTTTTCTTGTACCATTCAGATCTGATTTGATGGTACATACACACAAAAATAATAAAATTTTAAAAATTTTAAAAAATAAAAATAAAACAAGCATGAAAAACTACTTATTAGAGACTTTTCCAAATATTTCAGTTTAAGAAAAGATAAAATGGTATATAGTTTGTTGCAACTGTCCACTACAAGAAAAAAAAATTATCTGCAGCTCATTCACGAAGGTATTTTCACCTATAATCATGCTTTTCCCCATTAAAATTCTTAAACAGTAAAATTTCAAGACTCATACCCAATATGAGTAGCTTCTGTCCTTCCTTCACCAGTGAAAACACATCTTGCTGCCAATAGGTCACCAAAACTAACATCTACTGGGTGTTCCACAGGGTAGAAAGCCTGCCATATAAACATTCATTAAAATTACCAATGAAGTCCAGAACCACAGCCTTCTAGTAATTTAATAATCATCATCATCTAATAAATACATTCCTTTATTGAGAGGATGAAGATATACATACACAACTTCTGGAAAAAAAGGGTATTTACCTTTATTTTATTCTGCCTTATATCAAATACTGGACAAATAATAACACAATATGGTATGCATTTCCTGAAACTCAATAATATCGGTGTAATTATTTAAGATACTGTCTGATTCAGCTATTGGATATAGGAGACTATCAATGCTGGCTTTAAAATAGAGGACTGACATGTACCAAATTATAAATTATAAAAATGATTATACTGCTTAGATATACAGTAAGGTAGATTCAAAAACTTTTAAATTGTAGTATTACAAATGTTCCACGAGGAGTTTTTAAAAGTTACTAATTAGTGATTATTTTTTTCCAATGAAAATTTAATTATTTCGTACACACCTGTGGTAGCTGGGGACTCTGACGTCCAATAATTGCCCACTGTCCATTTCTTACTCTGTATCCACTCACTACCTTACCTGTAACAACCAAAAGTTATAAAATTTATTAATAAGATATTATAACAATAATAAAGCCTGTATTGTTTGCTTTTTATTTTTAAATAGCATCAGAATATCTCACAGATCCAAAATGGCAGGCATTTTAATGAAAATAATACAAAATAGCATAAAATGTTTCAAGATATTGGGTAAAATTCCTTTCATTAAAGCAGATTAAGGTTAAATAAAATTACATTTTTACAATTTATCATTACAAATATGTTTTGGGTTTTTTAAATTTTTTTAAAATTTTTTTATTGTTTTGCTTACAAAGTTCATATACATTGTGTTTCACATTATCCTTCATTCACAATGTGTTTCATACAATCATTGTCATGCATTATGTTTTATAAAATTAATCACTACTAAACCTTGCCCATTATTACCCTGTATTTTCTCCCAGATCCTTTATATTGGTTTGTATACAAAATTTATATATTATGTTTTATATGGTGCTTCACACATACCTTCATTCAAATTGAGTTTAATAAGATTATTTCTATACACTGATTTAAAAAATTAATTATCATTGATCTATGCCCACTATCACTCCATCCGTTCAGGGTCTCACTGTATCATTCACCCCTCCTTCTGCCCACCAAACTCTACAAAGTTGTGATTTCCTTCTCTGTCCTCACCCTCAGTCTCCCTGCCTCTCTCCCTTTTCCCAATCGAACTGTTACATACATATTACTAGTATCTTTCTATTTTTACAACAATGGTCTTATGCAGTATACAAATACATTTTAAAAATCATATTTATCACTTAACAGGAAACTTAAAACTCTTACCTAAATGGTGAGTGTGAACTCTATAGGCAAAGACATGCATTGGATAGTTTTTATAATGGCATGAAATGTCTGAATTCACCACTGTGAGACATGAAAACAGAAAAACATTATCATTATCCTACTAGAAAATAGTATTATACTTTTCTAAAGATATGAATAGGGTTATTGTTGTTGTTGTCAAGTGCCATAGAGTTGTAGATGACTCATAGCGACCTTATGAATGAAAGTCATGACCAATTGTATAACTTTCATCGTTTAACCAAGTTTATAGAGTTTCTGGAGGCAAACTATTTTGGAAGTGGATGCCACTCCTGTTTCCAAGCTTGTTTTAAATTGGGGAGCTCCACCAAACACTGTCCACCATGGGTACCCATTATTGCTTTTGATATATCAGTGTCACAGTGTTCAGCATCACAGCAACCACGAGTTACCTCTGTACAGCAAATGGACAGACCACTGCTATACCACTTAGAAGAATGTTTAACCAAAAACAAAACCAGGCCTGAGGGCCACAGATTAAAATCACTCACCTTTGACTCAGTAGCATAACTTTCTATCCACCAGGCCCACAAAGCTCTCTCAACAACAAATGAATAGGGTATTCACAGAATTCTAGGAACTTGAATTTTTTATTAACACATACTCTCTCAAATACACAGCAGATATTAAGCCCTTAGTTTGCTTTGCTCCACAGTCAACAGTCTTGGCACCAGTAGCCAGGAAATTAAAAGATATATTGCCATGGAAAAGCCTGCTGTTAGGGACCTCTCCAAAGTACTGAAGAACAATGGTGTCTCTCTGGAAACTAAGGTGCATCTGATAGAGGCCATGGTCTTTGCAATCACATGTTATGCATCAGAGACTTGGACAATGACTAAGGAGGACAGAAGGAGAATTGATGCCTTTGAGCTGTGGTGCTGGAGAAGAGTATTGAGGGTACCATGGACTGCTAGGAAAACAAACAGATTCATCCTGGAAAGGGTTAAACTGGGAGCTGCCTGGAGGCAAGGATTCTGAGGCTCTGTCTAACATACTTTGGACATGATGTAAGGAGGGACGGGTCCTTGGAGAAGGACATCATGCTTGGTAGGATGGCGGGACAGTGCAGGAGGGGAAGGCCCTTTATGAGGTGGACTGATTCAGTGACTGGGATAACTGGAATGTGTGTATCGGAGACGGTGCGATTGGCACAGGACAGAGGAGAGTTTAGGGCTGTTGTACATAGGGTTGCTATGAGTCGCAAGCGACTCGATGGCACATAACAACAACAACAAAAACAACATATATTAGTCACTATTTGGAAGCAGGAGAAGCATCCACTTCCTAAAAAACATACCTCTGGAAACTCTATGAACTTTGAGAGATGATGAAAGTTATACAAAGTCTTCAAGTATTTTGTTCATAGGGTCGCTATGAGGTGTGCTCACCTCAATGGCAATCAACATCAATATAAAAAACATGCTAAGACAAAATAAGCATCCCTCGCCTTCACTTTTTATTTCATTAAGCAAAACTACTAGAGTCAAATAAAAATTACCTGTCAGTATAACCATAGCTTTACTGTGAAATTCACACCATTGACTAGATTTAAAAGATGATTTTTATTTTTTGGAACAAAGAGGGTTTTTTTTTAATTTTTTAATCATTTTTTATTAATTTTAATGAAAATTTACAGAGACTTTGGATTTCCATTTACTCATTGTTGCAATTTTCTCCCTGTTCACCCCTCCCCCAAGTATACTCTTCTCAAAGAGATTTTTAAAAAATTAAAGAAAAACACCTAAGAAGAACAGATTGCTTCTGTTGAGAAGCACTGTTTTATTTATAATTTTTGCTTCCTTACCGTTTAACACATGGAAGCAATTCAATAAACATAATAAATTAATGGTGATGAAAATATCATAAATTACTTACTAGTCATTAACTCTAAAAGAGTCCCTCCAAACCATAAATGGATAATATTTAATATAGTACCTTCTTTAGGAGGCCTTTTGATACACATTAATAAAGATTATTCTTGTAGAGATATGTAAATATAAGATCAGCAGCTATTACTCGTCACATTCAAGATGTGGAAATAAGCTCAGTATATTTAAGTCCAAAAACTCTGTAAATTACATTTGCTAGTCTTTGGACTTGGTAGTCTATGCAGTTGTTTATGTACATTATTACAATTAGCTTTTGCATCTGGAGAAAAGAACATTCATTTGTAAAATAATTAAGACTTATTTCTTGACTTAGGTCCAACTACTACTACGTAGAGACTTCACTTTTTGGTGTCTCAATAAATGAATAAAAAAAAATAAACAAATGATTTGCAACAACACAAAAATCTATTATAAAACCAAAATGAATAAAGAATTGGATTATTCTTCGGGGATCAAAAAATATTAGTCCTTTCAAAAGTATATAAAAAATTCTTGAAATCCATTAGTACAGATTAGGTAATAAGCTAATGTTAAATACTAAAGTATCATCACTTACCTTTTTCTCCTGCTGGTATTACAGTGTCAACAGACATCATAAGATACATGCCAGCAATTAAAGGTTGTCTGCAGAAAACAGTACTATTTATGTTAAACATCTGAGTAAGTAAAAATGATTTGTAAGATAAGATATACCATATATATATATAGATAGATATATACACACACATATACATATACGTATATATACACATATACATATACATACACATACACAGAAAATGTAATCTTTGTGAATATTATAATGAATTAATATAAAATAAGAAGTAGAATTCTTTTTCTTAAAATTTCAACATTTTTTGGTAATTAACAGCATACACATATTTATGACCCTAGAAGGCAATCTCTAAATGGCTCCTACTGAGCACCCTTATCTAATTCATTCCTCTTGAGTATTGGCTGTACCCAGTAACTTGAGTCTAGTAAGTCAAATAAGACACAAAAAGATGGCATGATATTTTTGGTACTGTGCTTGAAAAAACTTTGGATTCCATCTTAGGCAGCTTTTCTTGTTTTCTCACTTGCTTGGTCTAATGGAAGCCTCTTGCCGGGTTGAAAAGCCACAGGGTATGGAATGAATACAATCACCACCAACAGTCAGCTCATAAATGAATCTCATCAGTGATCATGTAAACGGTATTGGAAGTGACTGCAGCTCCAGCCAAACCCTGAGTACAGCCTCTGTGCAGGACAGTAAGTATACCAAGATGCTTGATCATAAAAAAAATGTTAAATAGTTAATATTTGTGGTTTTAAACCACTAAATTTAGGGTTATTTCCTAGACAGAAATAAATAACCAATATTGTACACATGTGCCTTTCAAGATTTCAGTGACTTTAATATTGTTAGTTATCTAGGATAACTGGAAGTACTTACGGTAGACGTGTGAGATGTAAGGACACACCAGAACAATCCTTGTGATTATCTGAAAGTGCACACAAAAAATAAACTCTTAATATGAAATGTGAAAAAGATATTCCAAATAACAATTTTTAAATTTAAATTATTGTAATTAACTATATGTTTCACCTGTCGTTTTTAAATAGATTTTCAATCATTCACAAACGTTTTGTCTCATCATATTAGTTACAATTTACCAGTCATTTATTACAGTCTCATCAAATCATCTTCTACCCTTCCTTTCTTTTCACCTTACCCACCAATCTGCTAATCTCTCCTCTTCTCCTACTCCCCTCCCAATCCTGTCAACACTCCATGATCGTTTCTGTATGTAAATCTTTCTCCACTTTATCCCCCTAGAGAGTTATACACTTCCTATTCTACACTGTTAATCGCAATCTATACATTTTCTGATTATCCTTTATCTCACATCTTTTTATCTATTATAATAAGGCATTCATTGTCTAACCATTTCATATTCTACTTGCCTTCCTTTCCCTGTTTTTATGACTGGTCTTATACAGTATTTGTCCTCTTGTGATTCAGTTATTTCACTCAGCATAACGTCCTCTAGACTAAAGCATGTTGTTCAGTGTTTCATTAGATCATCATTGGCTCTTATAGTTTATATGGCAGCTCCAGTAGTACAATCTGAAGGGAGTTATACGGCCCGAACATGATGTCTCTCTTATAGTTTTGAGTCCACCAGTGGCAACATGGGAGAAAAATTGGCAATTTCCCTCCATGCAACTTACACTGGAAACCTGCTTTGAGGGTCAATTATGAGTCAGTTCTGACCTGATGTCATTTATTTTAATGCATTAAAAAGCATTTTCATATTAATAACCTTCATTCATTTTCTGATTTAACAACAGAACTATCATGGAAAGCATTTTGGTTTATAGTATTTCAAATGACTAGTTCTAGCAATTTCTCACAGATACACTATTTACCAGCCATAAACCCAGAGAAGAAACTCTTCTTACTCTCCCCACTTTAACTATATTCCACATTTACAAAGAAAAGGCAGGCCAGTGCAGAGAAAACCCTGTTAATATGGTGCTTGTTTATTGTGAGCTAGTATACTAAGACTCAGACCATGTAGAGTGTGTGAAGAAGTTTTCTTTTCTGTGTCAATGGTATCATTAACATCTTTTAAACAATGGAGTGACAAGCTCAGATAAAGTGTCCACTTACCATAGTTGTTTTTATTGTTATGTGCTGTTGAGTCACCTGCGACTCATAGTGACCCTATTTTCAATAGCACTAAATCCTGCTCTATCCTGTGCCAATCTTATTGTCTCTGACACACCTACCGCCATTACCACAGTCACTGAGTCAATCCATCTCTTTGATGGCCTTCCTCTCCTAGGCTCTCCCTCCACTCTCTCTAGCATGATATCCCTCTCCAAGAAATGGTCCCGCCTTGCAACATATCCAAAGTACATCAGACGAAGCTTCACAATCCTTGCCTCCAAGGAGAAGCCTGCCTGGTTTCACCCTCTCTAGGATGAACCTGTTCATTCTCTTCCAGTCCATGGTATAGTCAATATTCTTCTCCAACACTACAGATCAAAGGCACTAACAGAGACACATTCACTTCCTCCATCCACAAACAGTGTACATGCAAGCCAAATGCTCAATGTGTTTTGAGAACTGTCTCTTGATTTTACATCATATCTTAGCATGAAAAGAACCCAGTAAATTATGTTTTGATCCCTGTAATACAACTCAGTTCATCATTCTTTTTTCTGAGTTAAGCAAACAAAATGAAAAATGTTAATAAATAAGTACACTCCTAGAGATCGTGAAATTTATTTCTGAGTATGAAATTTGCCAACAAATTTAGAGAAGCAAAATATGTTGAAATAAGAATACTAACTATTGACAGAAATAAAAAAGTCAGTTGGCACACAGTACACAAAGGCAGCATTCACTATCCCTACTGTATGACTGTGGTCTTTAAAGCTTTGGAGAGACCATCTCAGAAGCAACTATTGAATTTTTTTCTATCTAAAGTACAAAATAAGGAAGAAATCAAAGACTCAGAAAACAATCTGTCTAAAGGACAAACAGGTCATGTGAACTTCACCCTCTGTTAGCCTGAGATAAGAAGAACTAGAGGTGGACAATTACCTCTACCATCATGCATGATTATAAAACAAAGTCTGGAAAGAGTGCAAGAAAAAGGTGGAACAAAATTTAAAACCACAAAAAAAAGACCAGGCTTTGTCTAATATAGACTGATGGAATCCCTAAGACTACGGCCCTTAGAGATCTTTCAGATCTGAAACTGAAAGCACTCCTAGGTGGTTTTACCTTTCATCCAAAAAACAGACAAACTTAAAAAGTGAATATATCACACACATGAGGAAAGTACTCCTTGGATTAACTGTAACAGACCAGAAGGGCAGCATTTACTCAAGCAAAATCTAGAAGGTGGAAAAAGACAGGAAAGAAGATGAATACAAAAGGAAACCCAAGGGAGGAAGTAGGAATTACACTGAGGGAATCACCACTAATATAAAAATTGTTGCTGTTGTGTGCTGTCGAGTCAGAACCAACTTATAGTTAGCCCCCACTAGGTTTTCAGAAGCTGTCAACCGCATGGGAGGAGACTGATCATGCTTGGGAGGGTTGAGGGACAGCGCAGGAGGGGAAGACCCTCTATGAGATGGATTGATTCGGTGACTGGGGTAATCGGGATGGGTGTGGCAGAGGCGGTGCGGTTGGCGCAGGATAGAGCTGTTGTGCATAGGGTCGCTATGAGTTGCAAACGACTCGACGGCACATAACAACAACAACAATATACACATATATAATTAAATGGAAGCTTTCACGCAGGCCACAATAACAAGAATATTAGATACTGTTCTTTAGTAAAACTATCTAAGTTGAATAGTTATATAGTCAAAGAAAAGTATAAGAATAAGTTAGAACAAAATTTTAAACATGAAGACATAACACAACTCCATTTAGTAAAGTATTCACTAAATTTATAACTTCCCAACTCGTTCCCAATTCATTGCTGTCCAGTCAAAATGGACTCATATCTAACCCTTCACTGATTTTCCACAGCAGTACACTGCATTGGAGGAGACTAGGAGGACTTTTCCTATCTTTTTTTCCATCTTTTTCTCTCAGGGTTGATTATGGACAGGAACTGCCAGAAAGGGACAATCTTAGCAGCACAAGTCCCTGTTGACTAGGCCATAAGAGCTCCTTAAATTAATATCAGTTCTTTATTATTGTCATATATGATTGCTACACAATTGTTCATTTGTTTCTAATGAAGAGATTTATAGGGAGTAAAATCAATACTCATGGGGAACACTAGTCAAGAAATCAAAAGATGTGTTGTATTAGGAAAATCTGGAGTGAAGGACCTCTTTAAAGTGCTAAGACGCATGACTGTCAGTTTAAAGACTAAGATGCACCTGAGTCAAGCCAGAGTCTTTTCAATAATTTGCCATGCATCTCAAAGCTGGACAATGAATAAGGACGACAAAAGAAGAACTGATGACTATGTACTGCCAAAGAGACAAACTAGGCTACTTGGAGGAAGTGCAATCAGGGTGATACTTACAGGCAAGGATGGTGAAACTCCATCTCACATGCTTTGGGCATGCTATCGGAGGAACTAGTACTTGGAAAAAGATATCCTACAGGGAAAGGTGGAAAGTCAGAGAAAGCGAGGAAGACCCAAAGAAAGAGAGCTTGACACAGTAACTGTAACAATGGCCTGAGAATGGCAGGGATCATGAAGACAGTATGTGCTGCTGTTCATATGTTAACTGAGTCTTAACTGATTTGATGGCACCTAATAACAACAACATGTCATATCCTATAAGACAGTCAAGAAGATAACAGAGTTTAAAAAATTAAAAATTGAGTTGTTTTGTGTTCTATAAAGTCAGAACTGAAACATAGCGGAACCTCTGGCAGGCTTTCAGAGGCAGTTAATCACACAGGAGGAGATTGCCCATCCTTCTGCGGAGCAAACGGTGGCCTTGAACATTGAAAATTGAGTAGGTGATATGAAATGATTAGCATATTTTGGAGTAATATATTTTAAACTTCTCATTTATATATTAAAATAATGGTTCATGGAGAAAATGAGTTTTATATATTCGAAGTTATATCTCATAGAATATTATAAGGAAAGAGTGTGATGAACATACACTGGTCCACAATAAAAAAACTTCGCTTAATTGATAATAATCTCCAGAATTAGAAATACACGGAAGGAAAATTCAATAACAGATATACTTAAAAACTATACTAGTAATAAGTACTGGCCAGACATTTTTATAGAAAAACTTATCTGATTGGCTAGATGTATTGATTTTACAGAAAATTAGGTATTTAAAACATTGTGGTGTGTGCGGTGAAGGGGGGCATATAATACCTTGTTGTTATTATGTGCTGTAGAGTCAGTATAATGGTTGGGCTATCATTATCTAATCATGGAGTGGTAGCAATACAATGCTGTGTGGTTTTAAAAATTGTCATTATTTAATAATAGACAGTTACACAGGGACCCTGGTGGTGCAGTGGTTAAGCACTCAGCGGCTAGCAGAAAAGTTGTGGTTCAAATCCACCAGATGCTCTGCTGAAGAAGGAGGAACAGTTGCCTCCTGTATCAGTCAGATTCAATTTGACGGTACACGCATAAAAAAAAAAAAGGAAGAAGAAAAAAATAAATTCACAAGCCTCTCCGTGAGAAAAAGGTATGGCAGTCTTCAGCTGAAAACTCTGTGAGGTAGTTCTACTATGTCATATAGGGTTGCTATCACTTAGAATTCACTCAAAAATAACTGGTTTTCAGTAAGTAAAATGTACAGTTTAAAAATGACAATTTAATTGAGCAAAATTCTAAAATCAAGTTGTCTGAAAAACAGTAAAATACTTAAGAAGTATATTTATATTTGCATTTTAGGCATTACTGAAGATTTTTTAAATTTACAAGTATTTACGTATATATGCCCAAACCAGATTTTATTATTGTAAACGACATCTCTTCTG